GGCCGAGGCAAACCTCCTCCCCCCCCCCCGCTCCCCACAGCCTCCCTGGCCCAGAAGCCCTCTCAGGCACGGCCCAGGGGCCTCAGGGGCACCCGCAGGACTGAGGAGGGGCACAGGGAGGCTGCCGGGCAAGAGGAGGTGTCCAGCCATGAGTGGCCCCCGCTGGGCACCACCTGCACTGGCCTTGGACATGGTCGCTGTCTGGGGAGGGAGAGGGGTGGGCCGTGGGCCGGTCCCAAGCTCTGTGGAAGGAGGGCAGGCTAGAAGTGGGCTGAGGCTGATCCCTTCTCAGAACTGGAGCTCGGATGGGAGACCAGCCGGGAAGTCCCGGGTCGCTCCGCAGAGGCAGGCGAGGGCAAGCCGGCTCGGAGCACCTCTTGCCTTGAAAACCCCTCGAGGGGTCATGGCGCACACGGGCTGTGGCTTGCCGGCACCTTCCATCCCTGCAGGCAGAGGGATTGTCTTGCCCCCCTTGGCTCTCCTCATTAGCCAAAAGAGAGAGCCAGAAGCACGACACTAGAGACTCACTTGGGAGGGAGAGATAGGCTCCAGGCTGGGCCACTGAGCACCAGGGCACGGCCCGAGAAGCCCTGACACACACACACCCCCCACACACACACAGAGTCCCACACATCTCGAGCAGGAGAGAGAACCGGCAGAAGGCGTTGGATGCAGAAGGAGAAGGTGGCCGCCCTGGGCACCCCAACTGAGGGCAGCCCGGGTGTTTGTGTGGCACTGTGGGGAACACCCCAGTCCAAAGATAAGAATGGCTGTGCTGAAGGTGGCCAACAAAGGACAAAGACACCTTGAGGGAAGGAAGTGAGAAGGGCGCTAAGCTCAGAGGCATCCCTTGCCTCTGGATACGGAGGTTCCCTTGAGCCTGGCAGAGACACACACACACACCCCCGAAGCACAATGCCTGCAGCACTTCTTGGGGCAGACGGGCAGGCAGGAAAGAAGGGTGGCGGGACTCTCCTTCCCTCTCCCTCCGGGGCCTTCACGCCCCTGCTGAGGAGCAACTCCGTTCCTGGGGAGGGAAATCAGGAAAGCAAGAGGAACGAACGTGGGGATCCGGCTCCATCAGAGCCGGAGAACCGCCGCTTGGGCTCCCTCTGTTCTTTGCTCCTGCTGAGCCAGGCGGCAGCGAAGCGCCCGGTCCGTGCCTCTGAGGACATTCTCTGGCTGTCCTCAGTCGGGTCTTGCCAGAGAAGGATCATTACAGCTCATCAAGCGCGAGAGACAGGCAAGTCGATAAGCGGAGGAGACGGCGGCGGCAGAGCATGTTCGAGCCGCCCAGAGATTAGAGAGCTCCTCGGAAGCGGCACGTTGCGCCAGGTCCCCTGTGGGGCAATGCACGCGTGGGCAGCGGCTCCGGCAGACGCTTTGCACATCTCGGCCCCACCATACACTCCGTACACCTCCCTGGGGCCGTGCAAAAATCATCCTGGTATCTTCCCTCTGAAACCCTCAGAATGTGGTCTGGGTGCAAAGCTCATTCAGCAACGGCAGATTAAAACATAATACCCACTTTCTGTGAGAAGAAACATCTGTCAGATAACTCCTTGCGTTTCTGGCAACCGAGGGGCCTGCCTGTGCTGATTTAGAAGAGGAGAACAGGCAACTGAACAAAACCACGAGGGTGGATTCCACTGTTTATTCTCAGATAACGGAGGGCACAGGCGTCAGAGCTCTCCACATCACAATGGGTGAGATTCCCAGTTCCTCTGAGACACACGGTAACCCGAAAATGACCCAGAATGCTCGTCATCAATGGGAAATGGCTGCAGTCCCCACAGATTCTCTCCTTCGCATAGGCAGTTGGACAGCAGTGCATGGATCTGGGTTGCATAAATACTCCTCTGAATTGATCCACTTCCCTTGCGTGACTCAGTTACAGGTCACAGCTGCATTCTCTGTGAAGAACGTCTCACCCAGGGGCCAGCCAGGTCCTCTGGAGGGCCAGCAACAGGGCAGAGAGGCCGAGGCCTTCCCCTGAGAAGAGCCCTGCTGGGTCAGACCAGGGAGGGTCCCTCCAGTCCAGCCTCCCGCCTCACACAGGGGCCAGCCAGGTCCTCTGGAGGGCCAGCAACAGGGCAGAGAGGCCGAGGCCTTCCCCTGAGAAGAGCCCTGCTGGGTCAGACCAGGGAGGGTCCCTCCAGTCCAGCCTCCCGCCTCACACAGGGGCCAGCCAGGTCCTCTGGAGGGCCAGCAACAGGGCAGAGAGGCCGAGGCCTTCCCCTGAGAAGAGCCCTGCTGGGTCAGACCAGGGAGGGTCCCTCCAGTCCAGCCTCCCGCCTCACACAGGGGCCAGCCAGGTCCTCTGGAGGGCCAGCAACAGGGCAGAGAGGCCGAGGCCTTCCCCTGAGAAGAGCCCTGCTGGGTCAGACCAGGGAGGGTCCCTCCAGTCCAGCCTCCCGCCTCACACAGGGGCCAGCCAGGTCCTCTGGAGGGCCAGCAACAGGGCAGAGAGGCCGAGGCCTTCCCCTGAGAAGAGCCCTGCTGGGTCAGACCAGGGAGGGTCCCTCCAGTCCAGCCTCCCGCCTCACACAGGGGCCAGCCAGGTCCTCTGGAGGGCCAGCAACAGGGCAGAGAGGCCGAGGCCTTCCCCTGAGAAGAGCCCTGCTGGGTCAGACCAGGGAGGGTCCCTCCAGTCCAGCCTCCCGCCTCACACAGGGGCCAGCCAGGTCCTCTGGAGGGCCAGCAACAGGGCAGAGAGGCCGAGGCCTTCCCCTGAGAAGAGCCCTGCTGGGTCAGACCAGGGAGGGTCCCTCCAGTCCAGCCTCCCGCCTCACACAGGGGCCAGCCAGGTCCTCTGGAGGGCCAGCAACAGGGCAGAGAGGCCGAGGCCTTCCCCTGAGAAGAGCCCTGCTGGGTCAGACCAGGGAGGGTCCCTCCAGTCCAGCCTCCCGCCTCACACAGGGGCCAGCCAGGTCCTCTGGAGGGCCAGCAACAGGGCAGAGAGGCCGAGGCCTTCCCCTGAGAAGAGCCCTGCTGGGTCAGACCAGGGAGGGTCCCTCCAGTCCAGCCTCCCGCCTCACACAGGGGCCAGCCAGGTCCTCTGGAGGGCCAGCAACAGGGCAGAGAGGCCGAGGCCTTCCCCTGAGAAGAGCCCTGCTGGGTCAGACCAGGGAGGGTCCCTCCAGTCCAGCCTCCCGCCTCACACAGGGGCCAGCCAGGTCCTCTGGAGGGCCAGCAACAGGGCAGAGAGGCCGAGGCCTTCCCCTGAGAAGAGCCCTGCTGGGTCAGACCAGGGAGGGTCCCTCCAGTCCAGCCTCCCGCCTCACACAGGGGCCAGCCAGGTCCTCTGGAGGGCCAGCAACAGGGCAGAGAGGCCGAGGCCTTCCCCTGAGAAGAGCCCTGCTGGGTCAGACCAGGGAGGGTCCCTCCAGTCCAGCCTCCCGCCTCACACAGGGGCCAGCCAGGTCCTCTGGAGGGCCAGCAACAGGGCAGAGAGGCCGAGGCCTTCCCCTGAGAAGAGCCCTGCTGGGTCAGACCAGGGAGGGTCCCTCCAGTCCAGCCTCCCGCCTCACACAGGGGCCAGCCAGGTCCTCTGGAGGGCCAGCAACAGGGCAGAGAGGCCGAGGCCTTCCCCTGAGAAGAGCCCTGCTGGGTCAGACCAGGGAGGGTCCCTCCAGTCCAGCCTCCCGCCTCACACAGGGGCCAGCCAGGTCCTCTGGAGGGCCAGCAACAGGGCAGAGAGGCCGAGGCCTTCCCCTGAGAAGAGCCCTGCTGGGTCAGACCAGGGAGGGTCCCTCTAGTCCAGCATCCCGTCTCACACAGTGGCCAATGTGTTCCTCTGGAGGGCTGACAACAGGGCAGGGAGGCCGAGGCCTTCCCCTGATAGGAACATCAGAAGAGCTCTGCTGGATCAGGCCAGTGAGGGTCCATCTAGTCCAGCATCCCATCTCACACAGTGACCAGCCAGATCCTCTGGAGGTCCAACAACAGGGCAGAGAGGCCGAGGCCTTCTCCTGATAAGGACACCAGAAGAGCCCTCCTGGGTCAGACCAGTGAGGGTCCCTCTAGTCCAGCCTCCCGCCTCACCCAGGGGCCAGCCAGTTCCTCTGGAGGTCCAGCAACAGGGCAGGGAGGCCGAGGCCTTCCCCTGAGAAGGACACCAGAAGAGCCCTGCTGGGTCAGACCAGGAAGGGTCCCTCTAGTCCAGCCTCCCGCCTCACACAGGGGCCAGCCAGTTCCTCTGGAGGGCCAGCCACAGGGCAGAGAGGCGGAGGCCTTCCCTTGAGAAGAACCTCAGAAGAGCCCTGCTGGGCCAGAACAGGGAGGGTCCCTCCAGTCCAGCCTCCCGTCCCACACTGGGGCCAGCCAGTCCCTCCGGAGGGACAGCAACAGGGCAGAGAGGCCGAGGCCTTCCCCCAATAAGAGCATCAGAAGAGCCCTGCTGGGTCAGACCAGTGAGGGTCCCTCTAGTCCAGCCTCCCGTCTCACACAGAGGCCAGCCAGTCCCTCTGGAGGGCCAGCAACAGGGCAGAGAGGCTGAGGCCGCCTTCCCCTAATGCTGCCTCCTGTCTCTGGGATGTGTGCCTCTGAATGTGGAGGTTCCCCTTAGTCCCCATGGCTGGTAGCCACTGATGGCTCTGCTCCTCCACCCATCTGTCCCCTTTTAAAGCCATCTGTGCCTGTGGCCATCATGACGTCCGCCAGCAGTGAATCCCACATTTAATCACTATCTGTGTGAA